TTAATTGTTTAGCCCACTTATTAATTGGGTTGTTGCTTCTTTGAGGATTTTTCTGGGAAGGTTTAGTATATTGAGCTCTAAATATATTTTAAATATGAGGCCCTTGTCTGATGCATAGTTTGTAAAAATCTTTACTTATTCTGTGGGCTTTCTTTTTATCTTGAAAGCTATATCCTTAGTCATGCAGAAACTAATTTTTTAAGAATTAGTCAGTCTCAGGTATTTTATCATCACAGAGTGAGTGGAATAAGGCATGGATTAGTTAAAAAATAAAATCTGTCTTAGATATTAATATTGATTACAAATTAAGGTATAAATCCTATGATGAAATAAATTTGCTTTTTTCCTCAGTTTTTTATGGTTTAAATTCAAGTAAGTGTAGCTGGCAAGAGAGCTATAGAAAGAGCTGACAATATCTTTGAAAGACTATTCAAAATAGAGTGGAGTCAATGCTTCAAATTTTTGTATTATTTCTTAAGAGTTATCTATTGACAATATGTGTGTGTGTGTATATATGCATATATATATATGCAGTTAAATACTGTGGCACATATTTACTCTTTTTACCTAGAAATATAGTTTGTATTTTAACATGGAATGAATTTTAGTATAATATTCACTGAACTATTCAGTTACAATATTTCCCAAATATAATTATCATATCTTAATGGCCTATTTTCCAATGATGACAACTTTTTGTATTTTGAAAGTAAATCAATACAGTATAACAGTTTTAAAAATAATGAAGAGAGGGCTGGGAAGGTGGCTCAGTGGTAGAGCGCTTGCCTTGCATGCATGAGGCCCTGGGTTTGATTCCTCAGCACCACATAAGCAGAAAAAAAAGCCAGAAGTGGCGCTGTGGCTCAAATGGTAGAGTGCTAGCCTTGAGCTGAAGAGCTGAGGGGTAGTGCCCAGGCCAAGAGTTCAGGCCCCATGACTGGACCAAAAAAAAAAAATAATGAAGAGAACTGATGACTCTTTTACAAATATGGAATAAAAAGAATCTGCTTCAACACTAAAGTAGAAAGCAGGGAACCGGTGGCTCACACCTGTAAGCCTAGCTACTCAGGAAGCTGAAGTCTGAGGATCGCGGTGCAAAGCCAGCCTGAGAAGGAAACTCCATGAGACTCTTATCTCCAATAAACCACTAGAAAACCAGAAGTGGTGCTGTGGCTCAAGTGGTAGATCGCTAGCCTTGAGCTGGAGAGCTCAGGAACAGCGCCCAGGCCCAGAGTTCAAGCCCCACGACCGACAAATGTTTTAAAAAGCACATAAATGTCATTTAACTTTTAACTTTACCTTTTTAACTTTTCAAAATAGACATAAAGGGTTGGAGGTGTTGCTCAGGTGGTAGAGTGACAGCCAATGAGCAAAAGTGTCAGATACAGAGTTTGAGTTCTGGTATCAGAATAAAAATGTATGCATAAGGGACTGAGCATGTGGCATGTAGAATACTTGCCTAGCATGTTCAAGGTCTTTGGCTTTGATTATAAAATATCTATCTGTTAGAATATCACCATCTCCTTCTTCTATCTACCTCCATATTAGAATTCAAGGTTCACAATACTCCTTATAAAGGTGATGTTTAGTATATGCTTGTGATAGTCCTAGCAGAGGATCACAATAGCTCAATAGTAATAACATATGACCATAAAAATGATGCTAAACAAAATGAACTCCAAGGTATGGAAACAAAAGGGGTTTTTATTTTTCTTATTTTTTAATGTACTGTGTGAAGTTATTTCTCTTTTCTTTTGTTCCTCCTCCCTTTGCTTTATCACTTGTTGTCAGTGTTTTTTTTTTTTTTTTTTTAAATTCTGGTAACCTGTGTCTTGTATGTAAATATATATATATATATATATATATATATATATATATACATACATATATATATGTGTGTGTGTGTGTGTGTGTGTGTGTGTGTGTGATTTGGGGAATAGAAGGGGAATGACAAAATGGTAAGACAAAGGGTGAACCAATGCTACAGTGAATATTCTGGTTTCTTTCAGATCGCATAAATCTTTCACCTTTTACCAATGCTGCAGTGATACTCACAAGAAATTATGTTGGAAATGTACTTCACAGTTTTGTGGGGAGAAGTTGGGGGAGGGAAAGTTAGAGGAAATGAGGTGAAGTAACAATGTTTGACAAGAAATATACTCATTACTTTACTTAGATAATTGTAACCCCTCTGTACATCACGTTTACAATGAAATAAAATAAAATTTTAAAAAGAGATGATGTTAAATTAGGACTCTTTTAAAAATTATATCCTCACCCTAAGTTCATTTGCAACATAGTCTCTAGTGAATATCACTGTTGCATTGTTTCCTAAAACCAACCTCAGTAACAAATTCACATTAAATTCCAATGAATTACAATACAATCTAATGAAATAAGAAAATTGTTTTATTCTCTATTGTGTCTTTGTTAGACAGCTTGTATTATAAATAATTTCTTCTTTCACTGAACTCTATTCCTAGTCTTCTTCTGGTACTCACATTTACAACCTAATTTAGGTGACAGTAATTTGTATGCAAATTTTGTCCTTTGACTGAAGTGTATACTCCTCAAATGAAGAGAATGTAATCTATCTTTGAATTACCTAGTATCTATTACATTGTTGAGTCCATTCAAAAACATTATCAGGTCTAATGTTAACATGTTTATCTTTTAATTCACCATTGATTCATTTCTTCAAAAAACTTTTACTTAAGCACTTTTAATGTGAAGGTGAGCTCCTACTTATAAGACCTACAGCGATTAACAGAATACATTATTTCTACCTTGTGAATATATGATTATCAATAAATTATTTTATTACAATTTAAGAAGTGAAGCTGGACATTTTGTCACAAGATCTAATTACAGGACTTGAAAAGCAGAATGATAGAGTTAAGTGGTAAGTCTGAGCTATACAGTAAGATCCTTTCTCAAAAGAAACAAAAAAATGTAATAATTAGAAAGAAGGAAATTTAATAGTTGTCAATGGTTATATACATCATCTCCTTACAACTTCATTGTTCTACTCAAAAACATATTGTGAGCTTGGTATGGTGGCACAAACTAGCTTGTTCCACAGGATGAGGCAGGAAGATCTGTTGCGCTCAAGAGTTTGAGGACAACCTGGCTCATCCCATCTCAAAAAACAAAACAATCATATTGAGGCTCCCCACTTTTGTAGGAGAGGTCATCATATAGATAAGGAAGTTACTCCTATCAGTTAATTTATTTTTCCAAATGTATGTCTGTGAAATGAATAGTATAATCAAGCAACAAGTGGTTACTAAATGCCAGTTCTGAGACAAGCATTCTGCTGAGAATTAAACACTTCAGAGGTTTAAGATGTTATGCCTGTCCTGACAGTAATTGATAAAATACAAAGGAAACAATAAATACAGATTCAGAATTCCCAGAAAAGATAATGACAGAGTTTAGTTTTGAATGGAAGCAGGTGTTTATAAAACAGAGAATGATGTCAAGTATGCAGTATAGGCAGAGGAGACTAAAAGAAGTTAAAATCAGACCACAAAGCTCTTATACTTAAAACATTTTTCATCATAGAAGCTATACAAACTGATGAAATGCTGACTTACCTACCCCAGCATTGTATATCATTTCACATTTTTCCTCGATTTTTAAATGAAATACTCTAAAACAAGTTCTTCCTTTTCACTTGGGTTGCAAAGCAAGCCTTTCATTCTCAGACCCAAATATTACATAGAAGAGTAATGAGTTTAAGTACTAGTTCCATAAAACTTTTTGCTTCACTTCATTTACGCCAGTCATAATGTTTGTTTTTTTTTTTTTTTGAAAATACCATACAGAGGGGTTACAATTACATGGGCAAGATAATGAGTACATTTCTTATCAAGCATTGTTGCCTCCTCCTTTGTTTCCCCTTCCCATCCCTTCCCAGCTCTCCCTCCCTCCCCCCCCACCAAAGTTGTGAAGTTCGTTTTTCTACATAACATCTTGTACATCTCATTGTTGCAATGGGTCCACCTATATCTCTATTTAAACAATTGTTTTTTTCCCTTCCAATCCACAAAGTATACCAACCAAATACAGTGAAAACAAGGGTTATACCGTGGGTGAGGGACATACAAAGCAACAAAGAAATCATCTTATAAATATGTTAGAAACAATCGCAAGAAAGAAAAAAATCATTTGAATCTTGGGGTTCATTTTGCCTAACATCAATTTATCTGAGCATTTCTACTTATCTCAGACATATACTAGTTATTGCAAATAAGGGAAAGTGTGGGGCATATATTTCTTTGGGCCTGGCTTACTTCACTTAATATAATTTTTTCACAGTGCTTACTTTTAAGATAAAAATCAGTGAAAAGCAAATTTATTGTTTTTTAAAGTCACATAACTGAACATTCTCATTGCAGTATTGTAAGAATTTCACTAGATACACAACTGCATTCATTTCCTTATATTTTATATCTCTCAATGATATACTATGCACAAAATCTTATTTGGTCATCTGCCTCATGAGCTTGAATTGTGGATGAGTACTTACAGAATGCATACAGAAAGAAGGATTAATAATAAATATGGAATATAACAGTTGAAATCTATGCTTTCTGATATATTTGATAGCTTATTTTGCTATCCTAATTAGTAGGGACTAAAATTTGCACCCCAAAACACTCATTTATAATAGAGTTGGTTCCAAGTGGGCGCTATTGGGAGTTAGTAGGAAATTTAGGAAAGGGGCCTAGTGATAGATCCTTAGATCATTGAGATGAGAATCCCTAAAGAGATTTTTGGGATGTTGATAATTTTTTCTCTTACTTTGCTTCCTGACTCATGATATAAGCATTTTGGGTATGGGAATCACCACAATTTGCTGCCATTGCACTCTCAAAGCAAAAGAGTCAAGTGATGGGAATTTCTAAAATGTAAGCCAAAATAACTCTTTTCTCTTTATACATTAAATATCTCATATACATTATTATAGTAATGGGAAGCTGAATAATACAATTAACTCATCACTCTCTTGTTGGGTGGTAAGTAGAGAATGAAAATAAGCAATGCTGAAAGGTCCAGAGGAAGATGGCAGAGGAAAAACTGGGGGCTAAACAAGTGCTCACCTAGAAACCAGGGTAAAAGTTTCAGTGAAAAGTCCAAGTCCTTCATGGAATCTACAAACAGAAAGCTGAGGGAATCTTAGGCGGCCACAAAGGGAATGCTGAATGAAGCCTAACAGAAAGAAAGGGTGTCCAATGAAACTATAATCAATCAACTAAAGGACTTGAGAATGAACACTGAAAACCAAATTAAGGAGGTAAAGAAGTCCACCCAAAATGTAAAACAAAGCTTCAACAAATAATTTGAAGCCATCAAATCTCACAAATTACAAGGAAAGGAAATGAAACACAAAGTAGAAAGTTTGACAGTACATTAGACCAGGCAGAAGACCAAGTCTCTGGCATTGAACACAGCCAAGACATTATAGAGAAAGAATAAATAGGGCTGGGAAGGTGGCTCAGTGGTACAGTGCTTGCCTTGCATGCATGAGGCCCTGGGTTCGATTCTTCAGCACCACATAAGCAAAAAAAGCAAAAAAAAAAAAAAAAAAGAATAAATAAGTATCCAAGACAAATTCAAGAAATTAGAGATCTATACAAGATTTAAAAACACCAACAGAATGCCAAATTTAAGGGTAATAGGTGTAGAGGAGAGTCTAGAGACAGAAGTGAAAGGTCTAGGAAATTAATTTAACAGGATACTAGCAGACAACTTCCCAAATATGAAAAAGATAGGCCTATTCATATACAAGAATCCTTTAGAACCCCAAATAGACCAGACCAGAATGGGATATCCCACCATCATATTGTAATCTGTACAGGTTCAATAGCTACCATGGAAAGGATCCTTAAAGGTGTCAGGGATGAAAGATCAATCACCTATAAAGGGAAAACAATCAGAATAACTTTAGATTTCTCAGCAGAGACAATGAACGCAAAAAGAGCCTGGAATGATATATACCATGCCCTAAAGACAAAGAATTCTCAACCAAGAATACTGTACCCAGCTAAACTCTCCTTCATAATGGAAGGTCAAATAAAAACCTTCCACAGCAAAGAAAAATTGAAACAATATATCTCCACCAAACCAACCCTCCAAAAGATACTTAAAGATGTCCTACACATAGAAATACAAGAAGAGCATGCCAAGAAACAACCCCCAAACAGAGAATCCAAGCCCAGAATTCAAGCCCCGCGACTGAAAAAAAAATCCACTTGAATGCTACATACATAAACACGCGCACACACACACACACACACACACACACACACACACACACACACACACACACACACAATCAAGAAGTTGGCCTCCTATTTTAAGCCTATATTTACAATCAAGGAGTCTGAGTTCTAGTGTTAGAGAAACTTCCATCTATTGATTTCAATAAAATCAATGCAGTTCTCGTCTGTTTATCTATCTCTAACCCAAAGAGCATAAGCTGCATTAGCATTAATGTTCATAGTGTCTGTTGTATTTTATATTTTTTATATTTTTATATTTTATATTTTTTATATTTAAATTGAGTAAGGTATTTATGAAGTGTTCTTTTCCTAAGAGAGTCTCTGAATTTTCTACTGGTGTTTTAAGTTGAGAGGTCTTAGATAACAAATTTTGAGTATTTTGAATTTAAAATTTAGTTACTCTTATTATAGGTAAATTTCTGTCACTGTTATTATTACATTTCCAACACAGTATTCTTTCCAAGTGGTGAAATGTCTATTGTCTAGACCATTTCCTTCCTTCCTACCTTCTTCCGTTCCTTCCTTCCATCCTTCCCCCCTTCCTTCCTTCTAGAGTGCAAGAGATCAAACCCAGAGCTCCATGCATGCTAGGCAAGCACTTTAGGACTATATTATTTTTAGAGTTCTTCTTTGATCATAGAATATTTAGTGGATAAACAGATTTTGTTTATTTGTAACTAAACTATTACTTTAACATTATATTTTCTCTGTATTTTGGAAGATGATGGCAAAGATATGTAATCTTAAAAGCCAACTCACAAGTCCTCTTATGCCATTTAAAAATAACACTGATAAATGGATTATATTTCTAATGGAGAAATACAATAGGATTCCTGATCTATTTAGCAATTAATGTGGCTGTGGGAAGAGAACCAAAGCAATCATTTTTCTGTAACAAACCAACTGTAAAACTTCAGTAGCTTAAAAAAGAAATGTATTTCTTTACTCCATGCCTATTGCTGCGGTGGCTGTGGTTATTGGTGTGAGGAAACATTAGCTCTACAAAATTTTTTAAAAACAGAATGCTAGCTATTCTGTAGGCTCCAATAGATAATTTCCAAGATCACCCTAGAAGTAGATATACTTATATAACACTAAAAAGCAGCAGAAAAAGGCAAGTAGAAGATTTTAGAGTAAAGCTTAAAAGAAAATATTATTTCCCAATACATAATTCTGGGTCTAAGTCAGTTATGTGGTCATACCTAACTGCAAAAGAGACTGGGAAATACAGTCCAGTCATATGTTCTGGGAGAAGGAAAAATGTGTTTCATTATGAGCTGTACATCTCACTTGTATCTCATTTTAACTAATGAAAAACAGCAAGTTTGCAAATGCTCAAATTTAGAAAATACTTAATGTTAGTTAGGTCTCCATAAAAACTACTCTTAGTTGTATCTAACACTCCACACCAATTATGAATTACAAAGTATTTTACAGTTGTATTGAGATATGAAACATCTAACATCTAACACAACCATAACTTTATGCAAGTGTGAAGTAATCACTGTTTTTATCCACTTTTAAAATAATTCCATTATCTGAAAAGCTCATCTGTACTCATTTGTAGCTAGTCCAATTCGCATTCTAAGTGGTAGGGAGCTAATATATTTTCCTTTTCTAGAAATTCATTATGAATGAACTGTACAATATAGGCTTTTCCACCTGCCTACTTTCACTTAAAATATATTCTGGAAGACCATCTACATATTTGCTCGTGTCAGCAGTTCTTTTGTTTTCCCTCATTGCATGGATGGGTCTGTTTTCTTATCCTTCCACTAGCTGGTGGGCATTTGAGTTGGTTCTAGTTAGGATTCATTACAAATAAAACTACTTTGAACACTTTTAATGAAGCCTTCACAGGTAAGTAAATTATTAGCAAATATGTTCATTTATTTAGATAAAGTTCTAAGAATGGAATTGCTAGGTAATCCTGCGTGTAACATTCTGAGAATTCTGAAATAATTTCCAAGTGGTATACTGTTTTGTATTCCTATCCAGCAATGCTTGTTTCACCATATCCTTACCAGCACTAGATATCATCATTTTATTACAGTCATTATATAGTTAGAATCTCATTGTAACTTGAATCCTCTTTCTTTTGGAATTTAAAAATTGACAATCTCACACTATGCACAGGAATACTTCTCATAGGTTTATATGTAGTTATATCACCCTTGATAGTATTTGAGGAACATAATTGCATCTAGACACGACTCCATTTTATTTTATTTCTAGAAATTGTATTGGTTTGATGCATATTACAATGTTTACTATAATAAATCTACATTAGTCAAAGTTCTTCAAAGAAACAGACCACAATTTATAAGCCTGAAAAAAACAGTATACATAACTGTGAACTCTAGAAAATCAGGAATGTGTATAGCAGGCTAGTATACTGAAACATTGTCAGGATGGAAACTCTCGGATATGATCTCATACTGCAAACTTGTAGAGAACTTCTTCTTTCTCAGGGAACCTGTTTTTCCCTTAAAGCCTTTGAATCGGTTGGATGATATCTGATTTTTATTAGTTAACTCCCATAGTTACAATCATTATAATGTAGAGTATTCAAAACTATAAAATACAGCTTCAGCAAACCCAGGTTAGTGTTGGAATAACTTGATATTATAATCATGCCAAGTTGACACAAAATGATCTGTCATGGTATCTCTTGTAGAAAATGTCAAAGATCATTCATTTCCTAATATCCAAACTGAGTCTTTCAAAGATAATACTTGGTCTTGTTTTTAAAAGAAGAATGAGTGGATGGTTTTCTATAGGGAGATTTTACAAGCAACAAAAAATTATTTGGTGCCCAATGATTATTATTTTCAGGAACCATGATGCAAAACTAAGTTAATAAATTATGGTGAGTGTACTACAGAGATTTCAAGGTGGTTTTAAAAGGGAAATTCTAGACCAAATACTTATATAACAAGAAGTACAACTTAAAATATATTATATCTCTTGAACTTATGATTTCAGTTAACTGAATCATTTGACCCATGTTATAGTAATATAAAAATTTGGATAGTCAACAAAGCCAAAGAGATTATTATTTTTTTATTTATCATATATCCATTTTGTGAGCTCAAATTAATGAGATTTATCATGATATTTTCATGTACATAAAGACTATGCATTGATCATATGTATTTACTCTTACTCTATACTTGGCTGCTCTCTCCTGCTCTTCACATTTCTTAATAACCACTAAGGAATGATTTTCTTTCTTTTAGAGCTTTTGAAACATAAATTTAATTCTTGCTTCTGTGAGAATGTAGACTGAAGATTGATCTGGCTGAATCTTTTTTTTTTATTTTTATTTTTTAATTTTATTTTATTTGAGAACATACTGTACAGAGGGGTTACAATTACATGGGCAGGATAATGCATACATTTCTTACCAAGCATTGCAGCCTCCTCCTTTGTTTACCCTTCACCTCCCTTCCCAGCCTCCCCCCTCCCCCCCACCCAACCACACCCCCCTCCCCCCCCCCCCACACCGACATTGTAAAGCTGGTTTTGACATGACATTTTGTACTTCTCATTGTTGCAACAGGTCCACCTGAATCCTTAAACGACTTGTTTGTCCCCATCTCCTCCACATGTTATACTGACATCAAATATAGTGAAAGCAGGGGTTATACTGTTGGGGAGGGACATACAAAGCAACAAAGAAATAATCTTATAAATGGGTTAGAAACACATGCATGAAAGAAACAAAAACATTAAAATACATATTTGAGGGTTCGTTTTCCTAACATCACATTATCTGACTTTTTCCGCTTGACTCATACCTATACTAGATATTGCAAATAAGGGAAACCATGGGACCTATGTTTCTTTGGGCCTGGCTTACTTCACTTAATATAATTTTTTCCAAGCCTTTCCATTTCCTAACAAATGGGGAAATGTCATTCTTTCTGATGGAGGCATAGAATTCCATTGTGTATATATACCACATTTTCTTGATCCATTCATCTACTGAGGGGCATCTGGGTTGGTTCCATATCTTAGCTATGGTAAATAATGCTGCAATAAACATAGTTGTGCTGGTAGCTTTAGCGTGGTCTTTTTTGTAAACAT